CTACATTAGATAGTATTAATGTGATTTAATGAACGTACCATTGCTGTTCTTTGGGCGTGATAACGGTCATCATCCTCAGCTGTCCTACGGCGAAACATGTCCATAGCGTGTGCTTTTCGTCGTCCAATCCTTTTGTTAAGGCTTCTTAACCGCCTTCGCCTTCGCCTCCGACTCAGCATTTCTATTGCATTTGAATGGTCGATCTGTATTTGTATTTGTGGCTGAGTTATTGGCTTAAATAACTCAGTTACGAAGCTGTATAACACAAGCACCAAAACGTCAACTCCATACCGTGTCTGAGGTCGGAAGGTAAACAGAAGCATACAGCGGAAGCGGAATTTTTTTTTCTTCTTCTTCTCTCGGTTTTTTGGCGAATTGCAACTTTAAGGTGCATACCGCCACCTACTGTACTCGCCGTGAAGTTGTTTGCGGCCTGCCAGTAAACCCAAAGCAGAAGAAGAAGAAGTGACGTCAGCGGCTCATTTGCCTAATCCACCCCCAGGAACTCATTTTGGTGTGAACGCGATCTGCTTTAGTTCATCAGAACTAAAAGAGCTCTCATGAACTAAAGTTCTCATTAACTATTGTGGGAAAAGTACTTGGTGTGAACGCGCCTATTGAACCAGAGACTTCCAAAATATCTCGAATTAGTGACACATTGTCAACAATTGACCTGCCGGGCACACAGTAGGTCTGGGTCCGGTCTACCACCTGGTCCATCACCTTCCTCAGCCTGGAAGACAGGGCCCTGGACAGCAGCTTGTAATCGGTGCACAGCAGAGAGACGGGCCTCCAGTTCCTGATTTCCTGTAAGTCACCTTTTTTCGGAAGGAGGGTTAAAACAGCTCTTCTGCAGCTCAGAGGGAGGAAAGAGTCATTAAAACTTTCATTAAAAAGGTCCATTAGATCCTCTTTTAAAAAGTCCCAAAATGTCTTGTAAAACTCTGGGGGGAGGCCATCTATTCCAGGGGCCTTCCCCCCCTGCATGCTCTTGAGTGCTGCACACAGTTCCTCCTCAGTCAGGGGCCCGTCCAGCTCTTTGTTCGTCTCTTCAGAGACTGTTGGTAGGCCCCTCCAGAACAGATTAAAACCTCCATCATCTTCCGTGTACTCACTGGTGAGGAGGTCGCAGTAGAAGTCCACCGCTCTCTGCCGGATCTGGCTGTTTCCTGTCAGCTGCTGCCCTCCTGCTGACCTCAGAGTGTGGATCAGCCTGCCCTGCCCGTTCTTCTTCTCCAGACTGAAGAAGTACTTTGTGGGTGAATCCATCAGGGAAGCGCTCTGGAATCGGGACCGGACCAGTGCCCCCTGTGCTCTGGAACCCAGCAGGTCTGCCAAAATGGCTTTTTTAGATTTTAGGTCTTCAATATAACCTGGATTTCCTGTGGACTCTGCAAAGCTCTGCAGTTCCACTATTTCCGTCTCCAGATCTCTCATAGACTTGGTGATGTCACGAGAAACATTGAGAGTGTACTGAAGACAAAGCTGCTTGATGTCGGCTTTCCCACAATCCCACCACTGCTTCAATGAGTTAAAATCCCCCTTCCTTTCTCTAAAACCTTTCCAAAAATAAATAAAAACCTCTCTAAAATGTGTATCTAAAAGCAGAGCAGTGTTAAAATGCCAATACGCAGATTTGCTTTTTATGTTGGCAATAAAAACATCACACAATACAAGGGAGTGGTCAGAGAAACCAACAGGCAATATAGCACACTTTTTAAAAACATTCAAATGGTGCTTAAAACAATAAAAGCTGTCTAGCCTAGCCATTGATAAAAGGTTCTCCCTAGTGTGGACCCATGTGTACTGTCTGTGATGTGTGTGATGCTCTCTCCATACATGTATGTCTGATAGACAATGTGTTGCTATTAACTGTGTCATGGCTCTTTTGGATGCAGCATGAGGTTCCCTATGGTTCCTATCTAACTCGTCATTCTGTGTGCAGTTAAAATTTCCCCCTAAAAATAAAAACTCTTCTGGTTCACACTCACTTAAAACAGCGCTGAGCTCGTTTAAAAACTGAACTCTGGCAGGACCTGAATTAGGAGCGTATACGTTGATAAAAACCAGATTAAAAAGCTCAAAGTTAGCTCTCACCACCAGCAGTCTGTCCTTTATTCTTTCCTCCACTGTGTGGGACTTGGGGATAAAGTATTTAGCAAACAGGACTGCCACTCCTGCACTGGTGCTGCTAAGACCACTTAAGACCACCTCCCCATCCCACTCCCTCCTCCAGTCTGTCCCGTTTAAAGTGTCACTGTGCGTTTCTTGTGGCATTGCTACATTGACCTTTTTTATTTTTAAAAGCTCATAAACACAAGCCCTCTTCCCCACATCCCTAGCTCCATGACATTTAAAGTGCAGACTTTAAAATTACTCATTAAAAAGGATGAGAGACACACCGCTTCAAAACAACACGTATGTAAAACCCAGCATACTAAGTGCCGTACATGTTATTTTCTTCTTCATCTAAAATCTCCAGCTGTAACCTCCCTTTCAGTTTCTTCAGATGATAAAACGTCGGGTTACGTATTGTAACCCTTGTTATATAAACACAGGCGGAGCCCTCTACTGGACTCTGTGGGTACTACCTTATCATGCAAGCATTCACCTACTGAGATTTCTATAGACGTAGCCGGCCCCGGGGCGGGCCTACCTGAATGCGTGCGCATCTCACTTCCCTATAAAAGGAGGCCTCGCCTCCTGACCACCATCCTACACCACTCTTCAGCGAGCGGTATAGGACAGACAGTGCCCCCAAGGTAGAGGGCTCCGCCTGTGTTTATATAACAAGGGTTACAATACGTAACCCGACGTTATATCTCTCACAGGCTCCGCCCTCTACTGGACTCTATGGGTACAGTGGGCGGAGCCCCGATGTATGCACGCACTGTCGTCCAGCACACCGATCCACCTCACTGTCCCTGACCGGCTTTAGCAGCCACTGCGCCTCACTCACCTCTCCCTCGGTTGTAACCGTGGAGAAGTCCGGGCTGCGGCCGATAGAGCACACCCTGACGCGCTTGCCTCGCAAAAAAGTGTGCTCAAAAATAGTGCTGAGGACTCCCGTGCGTCTGCCCATAGGCAGACAGGGAAAGTCCGCAGCCCAGTATGGGTTCACTATGCACTCTCCCTCCTGAGTCCCTAAAGAGCACGGGGAGAACGCAAGTGCCCCCTACGTCCCCCCACTCAGCCACTGACCCTGTGCAGAGTGTGTAGGGACAATAATATGGAGGGCTCTCCCCCTCCTGCCCCCAGGCAGGTGAGGGGAGCCCTTCAGCCCTGTAAGGGCCCAGAGCGCATTACATCACCCCGCGACCCTCCAGGGGTCCGGGGAAATGTAAGCGCATTTACGCCCGGGGAGGGGGTCAGATGCCCACTGACCCACAGCCCCCCCCCTCCTCACCAGTCCTGTGTTGCCACAGCAAGCACAGACGATGAGAAAGAGCCAGACATATCCAAGAGATAAAACTTTATGAAGGGGCCTGGCGTTGACCAAGACGCCGCCGTGCATATATCCTCCACACTCACACCGCTGAATAAGGCTGTTGATGCAGCCACAGCTCGTGTGGAGTGCGCATGGACCTCCATGGGACAGGCTCTCCCTGCCTGCTTGTAGGCGTGTGCAATGGTTTCACAAAGCCAGCCTGCCAGGCGTTTCTTGGACAGAGCTTTTCCAGTCACCCACTCAAGTACTCCGCACGATGCCGGCGGTTTAGCATCGGGATCGAGCAGCAGGAAACACAGGCCGGTGTCTGGCCTGCTCCCTGCTCAGCGTGATCCTGTCCCAGGCACTGAAAACATTGGCGATGCGGGTCTGCTCCCGCAATCAGTCCAGGGCACGACGGGCAACTGCGATGCTCCAGGAGTGGCTCCATTTTCAACAATATCTCTCTCTCTACTTCCTTTCTCCCACTTATACGTCTCGGACTCAGTGCTAGGTTACCACCTCCGCTCGCTGAAGAGTAAAGGATGGTGGTCAGGAGGCGAGGCCTCCTTTTATAGGGAAGTGAGATGCGCACGCATTCAGGTAGGCCCGCCCCGGGGCCGGCTACGTCTATAGAAATCTCAGTAGGTAAATGCTTGCATGATAAGGTAGTACCCATAGAGTCCAGTAGAGGGCGGAGCCTGTGAGAGATATAACTCCCGCTCAGTAAAACCCGTATCCTCTTTTAGATTCATCTGTGCTTTAACCTGTTTAGCCCTGAGCCTGTTTTTCAGGTCTCAGGCTCGAAAATGACATTCCCAGAACAAATGACCATATCTTCCCTTCTAAAAGGGTTACATTAATAATCTTTTTTCTCAAAGTAATGATAAACCTGTGAGTAGGATGTTATAGCAACACTAAATGTAGAAAAGTCAGAATCAATATAGATGTTTTTTATTTTAAAGTAAATTCAGATTTTACATAGTAAAAGACTGTAAATTATAGTGTCCGTCGAAAAATAATTTTTTACTTATAGTGAAAACTACCCTTGGGTGATGGGTTAGTAGACTAAAAGCTTTAGGAATCCAAAGTACAACATATAATAAGTATCCTGTATCAAGATTGATAGACTGACATCTAGAAACGGAATAGCATGGATTATCCGTTTTATTGCTCATGGATTATCAGCAATCATTTCAAAGGGACACAGACACATTGGATTAACCTATGGATTAACTTCAGCAGCGTTTTTATCATTTTAATGCCATTGAAGACCACTTTGGAGAGACTACAGAGCCAAGGTAAGAATGTTAGCATTTTTAGCTACCTAGCGTCACCTGTTTTGATGTCTGTTTTTGTTTATAACGTCGCAAATTCGTATAATTCAGTGATAATGAGGGTACCCATCGATTCTGTGTCACCTCACGATGTGAAACGATGTCATGGATGTGGAGAAAAGATAAATAATAAGGTTTTGTGAGTGATTTTCGGTGCAGTAATCTGTTAGCATTTTGCAAGAATGCAGGGTTGTTGGTTGTTCCTAGAGTCTCTAAAAGTACAATGGGAGTGTACTTTACAGGTGAGACACAGACATGATCCTCTTCCTGTGAACACTGAGCTCACCTGAGACAGAGACAGGTGACAGACACACAGGTGACAGACAGACAGGTGAACACTGAGTTTACCTGAGACAGTGACAGACAGCAGACGGCTCTCAGAGGACAAGCTATGAGAGCGAACCAACACGTGATAAATACAGCTGTAGTTTCCCTGGTGGGCGGGCTCTGCAGCCGGGAACAGGAAGTGGGCGCTGTGATTGACAGCTGGCTGGGTGTAGTTGTGAGTGGAGGACCTGAGCAGGAAAGAGCCTCCTGGGTACTGAGGCTGGATGGAGCAACTGATGCTGAAGCCTCTGAACACCTGGAACCCCTGCTGCTGGGCCCCGGAGACCCCGTACATGGAGGAGGACACAGAGATGCTGGGCTGAAGCAGCAGGTCTGGAGAGAGAGAGAGAGAGAGAGAGAGAGAGAGAGAGAGAGAGAGAGAGAGAGAGAGAGAGAGAGAGAGAGAGAGAGAGAGAGAGAGAGGAGAGAGAGAGAGAGAGAGAGAGAGAGAGAGAGAGAGAGAGAGATTTTTAGATTTTTAAAAAACACTTTTATTTAGATTTTCAACAAACAATGAAACTATTTTCTTGTTTACATTGAGAGAAGAATTCCCTTTTTTCTCACACAAAGACAGAGTTAAAAGCGAGCTCCTCCCCCACCACAGAGCACACAGCTGTAGTGAAACACCACCGGTTTAAAAACTCCTCCATACTTCTCATCAGACATTGAAATCTAAAATCTACACTCACTCGTGCCTTTACCAAAGATAAAAACATGCTGTACTGTTTACTTTGTTTTTGCCCCACAATAAAAATTCAACAGTTCCCACTTCCCTGCATTCTGTTTCTTGCATGGTCTTATTTTTATCTTGGTTTTATGGAGATCATTGATAGACATGCACCCCTGCGTAAATTTACAGTAAAGGGACGAGACAATCCTTGGTATTCTGCTGAACTGTCTAGTCTCCTGCATGCTGTGGTTTTATTAAATGTGCCAACTGCTAGGACTGTCTTAGGGAAGATAGCATTTAGATGCGCAGCTCCACTGTCCTGGAATAGTCTGCAATTAAAATGGAAACTGAGCAATCTGGTGCCACTCAATGTTTTTAAAGCTCGGTTGGATGCTACTCAATCGGAAGCTGTTGGTACCTGTGCATGTGGATAGTTATGTAAATTGTAATCCCTGTAATGATGCTGTATGATGTCCTTTTGTTGTTCTGTTTATGTTTTTAATGTTTCATGTGGAACCTACATGAGCAGGTCTCCCTTGAAAAAGAGGTTAATGATCTCAATGGGATACAACCTGGATAAATAAAGGTTTGAAATGAAATGAGAGAAACAAGGCCTGGGCAAAGGCTAGGAAATCAGGCGCAGAGGTAGAATGGCTCGTTTTAGGCAGCTAAGGAATAGCTTCACTTCACATGACAAAAGTGCTAAGTCGAAGTTGTAGTGATCACTTATTAATACACTGGGTTATATAATTCAATCAAGGAACTACAGGTTGGGGGTATTGTTCCGCACGGACACTAATGCTTACTGTACATCCGGGGTATATACTGTGTCCTCCTTCCTTTCGCTTTCTCTTCTCTTCCCGGGCTGCGACCCGACAACATGTCTATTTCTGTTGCTCATTAAAGTCCCCATTTGCACCTTCGATGCACCGCCTCCGACTCCTATCTCTCGGCACTACATTGGTGACCCCGACATAAGTCTCGCGAAGGATCCGAGACTGAACCGAACATGGCAAAAAACGAACACTGTTTTTCTCGAAATGCCGGAGATTTTTGGAGACGTCCGTGGCTGCCACGTGCACACAGACTGAGGCTCGGTGCGCCCCACGGAATGGCTGAGGACGTCGCTCGCCATTCCCGCGACCTGCTAGGTATGGGGGAACCCGACTTCTACCTCATGGAGCTGTTTCTTCGGGACATGCGGCTGCATGTCCAGGCTGCGCTAGCTCACGCGGCTAGTGTTGAGCCCCGCGCTTTAGCCGAAGAAGCTAGCCGGTTCTTCCTGGCCGCCCGGCGATTTACCCCTGAGGTGCTGGCCACTACACGCTGCGGCACCTTCCCTGGTGGGGGCACGCCGCCTAGCAGAGGCTCCGGTGTTCCAGATTAACTGGTTTCCCGATCAACTGGGGCACAGATGTGGGGGGCGTGGCATTCGACTGAAATACACATTTCGATCGCTTCTTCTGTCGTTTACATAAATATTTTGGTATATTTGGGTCGGTAGGAAGACTTTGATGCACATTCAGTACCAGTGTGTGAGGTTGTGGTTATGATGGCGATATCCGGACGCGAACAGCGAGGACTACAAAAAGAAAAACGAGTTGACTGGGGATGTCTGTTCAAAATAAATAAATCATTTAAACCAGCTATTGTTGCCAGACTTATCACTGAATATCGTTCCTAATGTGATACTAAGTCCATCTGAGACCTGTGTACACCTTCAGACAGCCTCCAAGTGAAGCACACAGTGTTTACTCACAGTTTGAAAGCAGCGTGGAGAAGTCTTCATCTGTGTTAAACTGTGATCCTCTCAGGTAAACTGCGATCCGCCCAGGGAACTGGGACCCGCCCATGTTAAACTGTGATCCACCCAGGTTAAACTGTGTTAACACTTCTGTGGCTATCTACCAGCGATCATGTTTAATATGAAAGACTACACACACATGTATCCCTTGTAAAAACGGTATTCTGCAGCACTCATCCAGATAAGATGTGACTGTTAACTCGTTTTGCAAAGATAGCAGCAGAAATGTCATTGCTGCATGCAGGGACGACAGCGACTAACGGCCGTCGAGAACGGCTAGCCACGACAGCTATCGGCTAGCAGCTAGCGGCTATCGACATCCATTGGCTATCGACATCCGACTGTTAGCCCCTTTTTTTTTGTGGTGCCGGAGAGGAGGTTCGATCAAGTCTGGTCGGCCTCGTGTGGATCCTCTCGCTATTTCGCCCACCTGTTTTTGATCGTGGACAGGACGACCCTTTTGAGTTTTTTTCTGGTGCCTGAGAGGAGGTTCGGCCATGTCTGGTCGGCCTCGTGTGGACCCTCTCGTTTTTTTCACCACCTCAACGGTGGCTTCGGACGTCGCCCATGCCTTCTTCGGCCCGTGGGTGGCGCGCTTCTGGACCCCGTCTCGCCTCGACTCTACGGTTTCGGACGTCACCCATGCCTTCATCGGCCCGTGGGTGTCGCGCTTCGGGACCCTGTCTGGCCTCTTCCCTCGCCTCGGCGGTTTCGGACGTCACCCATGCCTTCATCGGCCCATGGGTGGCGCGCTTCGGGACCCTGTCTGGCCTCTTCCCTCGCCTCGGCGGTTTCGGACGTCGCCCATGCCTTCATTGGCCCGTGGGTGGCGCGCTTCTGGACCCTGCCTGGCCTCTCCTCTAACCGCGGCTCACGGTTCGCCTCGATGGCGGCTTTGGACGTCACCCCGTCTGGCCTCTCCCCTGTCCACGGCTCCTTCCTCCCGAGGACTTCGTATCCGCCGCCGCTGTGCCTTCGCCTGCGGCCGGGCGGCGCTCCTCCCTGCTGGGGACCACCGGGATATTCACGCCCGTCCCCACGTCGCAACACAGCGACCCTGCTTTCTGCGGCCCCCTGACGACGGCCCGCCCCCCGCCCCCCGGTGGGGATGCCCTCGCCCTCGTTAGGGCCCCTACCCTCTCCTGCGGCTCCCTTCCGACGGCCCGTTCCATGGCCCGGCCCCGCCCTCCTCGGCCCCTGTGGTGCTTCCTCCCGGACGCGAGGATTGTGCCATGTTTGAATTCTGGGGGGGCTTGTGTAGTGATCACTTATTAATACAATGGGTTACATAATTCAATCCAGGAACTACAGGTTGGGGGTATTGTTCTGCACGGACACTAATGCTTACTGTACCTCCGGGGTATATACCTTGTCCTCCTTCCTTTCGCTTTCTCTTCTCTTCCCGGGCTACGACCCGACAACATGTCTATTTCTGTTGCTCATTAAAGTCCCCATTTGCACCTTCGATGCACCGCCTCCGACTGCTATCTCTCGGCACTACAAAGTACTATTTGTCAGTTACCACAGAAAACCTAAATAATCCTAGGAAATTTTGGAAAGCCATGAAATCGATATCCACCGGTGATATCCGTAATGAGCTACCTCCATGCCTTACCACAGCATCTGGCTCTATATCGGACAGGGCCACCATGTTAAATTGCTTTAATAAGCATTTTGTGTCCTGTGGCTCTCTGTTTGATTCTGTGACTAACTCTGCTTCTGTGAACACCACAGTCTGTGACTCTGAACAATGTGGTCTGGAAAACCCTTTCCGTTTTACTCCTTTTACTGTTAATGTTGTTCATGAACAGAGTTGGATGTAACGCATTCCTGTAATAATATTACTTTTGTCGGTAACGGAGTAGTGTAACGCGTTACTTTTATAATTCAGTAATCACACTACAGTTACTAACATTGCCCCGACACGCGTTACTTCGTTACTTTTATAAAATCAGTCATAATCACACTGACAGACAAGAGGGGTTTCCGCCGCAGGTTTATATGTACGTAATCTGCGCGACTTGCACGTCCACATCTCCGCGTGCAGTGCTGCATAAACATGGCTGAGTCAGCGATAACTTTCGAGGGGTGGAGGGACGTCAAACCTCAACAAACACCTGCAAAGAACACATGCTAAGGTGAAGCTAATAGCTAAGGACCCCCGAACCCAGAGTGAGGATGTTGTGAGTGCGCCGCCGCAAGAATTTGGAGGACCGGTAACCAAAGCAGAGATGGACAGGCTTGTAGCATCCTTCATAGTAGAGGTAATGTTGCCCATTTGCACAGTGGAATCACCATCGCATCGTTCAGAGATATACTGCGCAAAATACAGATAGCAGGAGACAGAGGACAGCCATGGTCAGAGCTATCTGGATCAGTCTTATGCGACAATGGAAACTGAACTAAAGAGAACATTTGAAACTTTAGCAGTCTGCGTGATCTGCCTGCAGGGAGGGGCGGGCCGGCCCTGCGAGTAAAGTAACGAGTAAAGTAACGAGTAAAGTAACGAGTAAAGTAACGAGTTACTTTATGTAGAAAGTAACGAAGTAGTGTAATATATTACTTTTTTTTAAAGTAATATGTAATATGTAATATATTACTTTTTTTTAGTAACGACCCCATCTCTGTTCATGAAGCATTATCTAAGTTAGATCCTAAGAAACCGGCCGGCCCGGACAACGTAGAACCTTTCTTTTTAAAGATAGCTGCAGATTTTATTGCTCCACCTCTCACTACTCTTTTTAACCTCTCCCTCTGCACAAATGCAATTCCAAAAGTATGGAAGTCAGCTTATGTCTTGCCTTTGTGTTACGTGCTCCCTTTTTCTGTTGTCTTCTCTGTCTCTCTGCTGCGCAGGTA